TATTTGAAGCTTTCTTCGTCTTACGCACTAGATAAAAGAAATGAGCCGAGTTTTACTCATTCAGAACAAACCAGAAAGAAAGTTGATGCCAAGTTTGTGACTGAACGCAACTAAACTAAACCACAACAATGGGGTGACCTTGGTGATTTCACCTCAACGGTTTTTAGTAACTGTGCTCCAGGTAAAGCAGAGCGGAACAATCGAAAAAGTCTTGGATGTTACGAATGAGGATGTCGGAAAGTGAAAGAATGAAGGCTTTAGTAGCTAAAAATAGCTTAGGCAAACGAGTGCACCTCTACGGAGTTGAGGGGAGGGGGCAGATCTAACGGTACTTTGTCCAACTTAGCATGACCTCTGGAAATTCTTGCTTCTCATCATTTTTGTGTGTGGAATACTGACTGTAACTTTGTGTATTGTTTTAAAAATGTGTGGATAACCTCACAGAGGTTACGAAATAAAGATCCCATAATGTTCTCAGATTCTGGCTGTTTAGCCTAGTTTGGCACCCTTGAGCAGTTTAAGTGCTCCCGGATGAGATTTCTTGAAGGACGAGTACCGAGTCACGCACATCTGCACTACTGAAAAGGCCTTGATTATCAGCTAACGACGCGGATACCCCCTCTTTGGAAGCATCAGTAGGCTTCACTGAGTTTGGCGTTACTTGGACTGACCGATAATCTAGCCTAGGAACACGATTTGTAGAAAGATATCCCCGGGGAAGTACGGATCGACGGTTAAAAAACCGGGACACAGTTGGGCGAGGGACTGCCAACTCAGTGGTGACACTGTGTCAGCCTCGGACATCAGAACCATTGACCAAGAAACAGGACTCAGTTTGGAGGCGAACGAACAAGGGTCGGTCAGGGCGCGGAGATCGGAGAGGTCAAGTTTCAAGGCTACTCGGATATCCATCAATAAGAGGAGAGGTGAAGCAACACGCCAGCAGAAATGCTAACCAAAACGGCCAACGATCGGTCAAGGTCGACCTAGTTAAGACCCCCCCCCTCCATGCGCAACAACCACGCACTCCGAACCAACGCATTTCCATTGACGACATACTAATGACGCCACTTCAACTGATGATGGAACTTTTGCAAACAAAAGCGAATTTTAGCGAAATACACTCGTTTTGCAAACTAATCTGGTTTCGCGAGAGACTCACCGGGAACCCAGCTGAATCTCTCATTTGTGATGTTTCCAGGCAACTAAATTTGCTGCACCAGGCCGCCTCATGTTTCAGTCGCCAGCATATTGCAAATATCGCGATACATGTATATATTTCTATTGTAATCTACTACTCATAAGGTCGACATACTAATGACGCCACTTCAACTGATGATGGAACTTTTGCAAACAAAAGCGAATTTTAGCGAAATACACTCGTTTTGCAAACTAATCTGGTTTCGCGAGAGACTCACCGGGAACCCAGCTGAATCTCTCATTTGTGATGTTTCCAGGCAACTAAATTTGCTGCACCAGGCCGCCTCATGTTTCAGTTGCTACGATATTCGAGATATCGCGATACATGTATATTCGTAATACGCTACTGAAAACTCGTCGAAATCGCACGACCGGTTTCGCCCTTCTTTTTTGTTCCTTTTCAGGTTGATTGAGAACTCAGCATACAGCTGACTGTATTGTACAGTCAAACGTAGGTTACCTGAAACGCGTCTTTCCTGTGACGAACTTGAAAAAAGTGCGTAAAAGAATGAGCTGTTGCAGGATACCTCCACTGTACTTCGCTGTCTTTTCGGGTTTTCATCTTCTGACAGCAACTTTCCATTCGTGATCCTGCACATGACACGGGACGCAGTTTCCGGATCGATACAATGCCCACTTTCAAATAAATGACCGGCTGCCGGTGATGCCACTGTAGACAGTGTACTTGACTCCAGATTAGAAAGGACTGGTTTCTAAGTTACGGCATCCCAATTGGGATGTGTTCCGCTTGTTTAAGTTGAAATTGTCCCCCAGTTCTACCCAGTTACTGGCGGAGCACCCAAAGTTAAAACGGTAAACGATACTGGAGGTGGGGTAGTGGAACTCTGACCTTGGAGGTTGGGACTCGGTCACTGACTTGGCAGTGCAATAGGCTGGTTCAATTTGAGGACTGAATAGATCCACGCCTTTAGTCGCAACAAACTGTGTTTCTCTACAAATTCTAGTAGCTACCCATTCGGGTAGTGTGGATTTGTAGCGTGGATCTGAGGAGATGCAGACGAACAGACCTGTTGCATAGTCGAACAGCTCATCTATCCGTGCGCTCTTCATATCTGGTTACTATGGTTTCGAATTCACGAGAAATTGGACGATGCTAGCAGACAATTCAACGACTAAACCAAGTCCTTAACTGGAATGCGACCAATATGCATCCCTACCTGATCATTTACAACCCATCAAGTCACTTTGAGGCACGAATTACTTTTGTAGTGCACTCGTGAATTCCATCCGCTTATAAGACAACAGCATTTGCGCTCGAGTCGAATTTCCACATGAAAAATCGACCTTTTTTTCTGAGTCGGTCATGTCTGCGTCAAACGTCCAATCCGAACCGAGCTCGATGCAGTCACGTGACCGCTGGACAGCTATTCACCGCAAGTCTGATCCAGTGGAAATCCACATCGATGCGGCTGTGCACACTAGAGCGTTCTTCAAGAGCGCAAAACAAGCGCCAATCATTCAGGAGAGTGAGAATCTTGTGTAGGCAGTTTAATCGTTTGGTTGAGAAAAAAAATGGCGACCATAAAACAACCGAAGAGATGGTACATGATAAAAGCAGCCTAATCTAACAAATTGACAAAGCGAGACAGCTGGTACGGATGATAATGTGTGTGGTGCATTAAACGTCCCAAGATGGGTAGAGTAGGGAACAACTTATGTTAACCCACAATAGTTTTGGTAGTGGCAGGTGTTCCCTCCCCCCTCCCCAACCATCATACCCGTAAAAGAGCCCACTACATATGTCCACCTATTGTTTTCCTCTCCGTTGCACCCCAGGGAGAGCAACCGGGAATACAAACGAACGTCTGCAATCTTTTGTCCATCAGCTGGATTATAAAAAAATCTTGAAAAAATCATGGAAAGAAAAAATGGACACCAATTTTCAGCGGGTTCCTGTGCTGGTACAAACAAAGAGTCGGCTCAACTAACATCTGGGACGACTAGATGGCTACTGGTGTCCCCTACTTTCCCGTGACAAAAGTCGAGGCCCAAGTACTTGGTCCGCAAGTTACCACGGCAACCAGCAGGTAAGAAAGTATTCCGCCTGTATGAAGACTAGCGTAGATATATGCGGAAAAGCAAGGCCCAGGAACTGGCTGTTTTTTTTTTGGGAACAGAGAAACACTTAGATTAATAGGTCCACAGTTTATGTCGATGGCAAGCAGACAGAACCTTCCCGTTTAAAAGATATTATCCTCATACAAGGTGCTTGATGCCTTTTGATCCATTTAGCGGAATCATCCGCACAGACGACGCCATCTTGTTTGAACTGCCATGCAAGTGTGTTCCCGATTTTGTCATCCGTGAGATTCCGTGACGCATCCCCTAATTCCCCACCAACAGACTATCGACAACAACTCACCCCTTTTGCTGTTGCGTCACAAAAGCACCATTTTATGGATTATCTACTCCGGCTAAAAAGCTTTTTTAAGCCATGCCTAGGGCTTAAATTAGCTGAACAACGTCCGTGAGCCTCGAAGTTGTGATGTTGTGGCATTAGGATGCGTCCTCACAACTCAAACTCAGAAGTACGAGTCCGAAGTCATCAGACTGTCAGAATCAGACGAGCTACGAACATTCTGATTGCGAACTCACACAATCTCCGGAAAAACTTGGAGCTCGAAACCAGTGAGACGGTAGACTATGTACGAAAAAAGGTTTTGACGTAGTGTCGATTTGACAAAGGCCTTACATTAATAGCAGAACTTCTATAAAGCCTGGTAGGTACCTTATAAGTACCTCATTAATAGATGATCGTGATTCTCGAAACTAAGGGTAATTCGCACGTAGCTATTCAACCACATGGAACTAGACCATCGGCACGGTGACTACTCAACCATTTAATCACTGCAAGACAGTGTGAAATACAGTGTGACCATCTATGACGTCATTTTGGACGATACGGAGAAATCCAGTGCGGAGACGGGCGACGCGTCGTCATGTACACAGTCATCCTTTTGAATGTAACTTTTCCCGGCCATCGATATGCCATCCGGATTGACAAGTCCAAGTAGCCTGCAAACCATACTACTCATAAGGTTACTGAAAACTTTCCGACAGCTCACAGCCGGTTTCGCTGTATCTAGTGCTCATCAAGTAGGCAAAATCTCTGAGATTTCCTCAACCTCACGTTCTGGATGAAAACCAGACTATACGAAACTGGTGAAACACATTCAGTAGCAAATTAGCTTGCAGTTGACTCAACTGAATCTCTCGATTACGGTATTCCTCGCCTGGACTTGCCGTATGTTTTCTTGACGGAAAACTGCCGAAAACATTGCTGAAAACTCCTCCACAACCAACGTTGACTTCATTGCAAGCGCTTACGAATGTTAGACAACAAGGCTTCGAAAAACGCGGTGGTAGTTGGAGCACTTTTAAAGGACGGACATCTGCACGAAGGAGTGCAACCAAACGGAGCAACACAGACCGCGATCGCCCACAGAAGTGCCGGTTTTGCCGCCATGATCAGTACAAGAACGGCTCGGACGGAAAGCCATTTAATTTCTCTGCGACTCGGGTCTCTCACGAGGATGATGCCCGCGGTAGCACATTCAGATCTGCCGCCCTCCGTGAGGATAGGAAAGAGAGTAGATGGTTGCTGCTGCATCCTGGAGGCAGTGAGTATCGTCACACTCCTGGACGCAAGAGGAAAAGAACTGTCATGTGAGCCACAGACTGTTATAAAAGGAGCAACAGTCTTGAACACAAGATGGCCATCTATAGCCCATCAGTGTTCCATTGGTTACGGTTAGGAGGTGTCGAGTGACACAAAATCCATGTATGCTCCAAGGCTTTGTGCCTACGACAAACAGTCGGTGGTCTGTGGATGGCTGTGTGAGACAGCCATCCTTGTCGCTCCTGGGACCCCTTTCAGATATGACGTCGAGGTGGATATCATGTTTATCAGTTCTTTCCGTTCGGGTGAGGCCCCAGTTCACATTGTCGCTCGGAGAAGTCTGGAAAGCTATCCATAAGAAAGGCCTTCAATTTGTTGAGCCATATGTCAAGATAGCGGAACTACATTGGGTTTTTTCGAGCCGTTGGCCTGACAGATCCGACCAGGAATCAAGCCAAACGGAACTTCCACCGTTTTTGAAAAAGTTTGGTGACAATCGGCAGATTTATTGCTGGGCAACGTTTCGCTTTTGACACAAAAGCCTCGTCAGGCCGGTTCCGAGGTTGGTCGAGATTTAAGGCGGAAGGAGAACCAATCAGTTAAGTCAACCTAAATCTCTGTTGGGTGTCGGGCGAGGGATTTTAGTGTGTTAGAGTGGTTGAACAAGTGTTGGGTCGGTGGAGAGCGTCCACAGCTTTGACAATCAACAAAATCACCCGATACTCTGGAGCAGGGTTCTGCACGAGTGTTCGGGGATAGCCTATATTTTAGAAGTGGCATCGGGAAGGGGTTTCGTTGACGTTCTCGACAGACAGCAAGGATATTGATTAGAAATCCCTTGGCCTTGGTGGATTTGTAGGGCAGGCTTGCTCAACCCAAGAAAGCAGAGAGCAATACACAGAGGTCTGACTCACAACCCAGCTACACACAACAGGTATCCTTTGGAAGCATTAAACTCTTGCCGTTTAGACGTATTCCGAATGTACTGAGTAATGAACCGGTCGTTTCGACGAAAAATTATGCGATCGGAATGTGCAGTGTGGATGGCCAACCTTTCCCAGCCCGTCCTTTCCGGTATAACTGCCTCTATAAATATGAGAATGGCGAATCCCATTGACCGTGAGGATTCACCCCCAGACGGCATCATAGTACAATTACTGGTGGCTACTTCTCTGCCCGACCATCTTGGCACGGTACCACATTGCACAACACGGTTCCGGCCAGTGTAGTGAGTAGTGGGATCAGTAAAACACCCATCAAATCAAAGTAGCAACCTCTGGTCGGCGAAAGTGTACATTTGCCCATGCCATGCGACCAATCGTGGCAGACTCGCGTCCATGTTGCTATATCACAAGGCACTTAAACGAACAGATACACGTAGATCTGGTCATTGACGAATACACATGGCCCTGAAAGGTATTTTTAGACAGAATGATCCTGTCACGTGACGTTCCAGGGCTAGGAAATCCTAATTTTCCAACAGCCGATCGTGAGAAAGAACCTCAGTAGGCAGGGTTCAGGTCTCAAGCACAATGATTGAAACCACTCGTTGGATGCCGGATCAAATGATCTTCTACCCAACTTACGATCAACTGATACCCAAAACGGCGAATACTGTGGATTGGAGTGAAAACCGATAAGCTCATCTAGATGGAAGTCGGATGGGCCAATCCTCTATTTCCGTGATGAGCCACCTACTAAGAAGGTTATCGATCAACTTCCTTTCGGTTAGACCGAACTTCTAAGATCGGAGTTCAAAGATCAAGGAGACAAATGAAATCCACGGCGTTAAATTACTTGAGGAGGCCTATTACTTTGGAATTATGCGTGACTTCTCAATCGCCTTGAAAACACCTTCGGGAAAACGGGTTATGAATAAGACTCCTAATCAAGTATTTGAACTCATCGATGGATAAATTAACGACCGAATTATCCATAGTAAATGTGCGCATGTTCACGTTTTGTCGAAGAGAGCTTATCAGCGAAAACGCAGCCGTTGTGGGGTTTCGATTGAGCGTAACGAATTCCAATCGATCTGGCCACCGTCAGCGCTAAAAACGACGTTCGAGCTGACCCAAGCTACTTGGATTTCACCGCTTCCAAGCATCTTTACCGTAGACCTACCCTGCTCACCCAGATCGATCGCTACGTGTGTGAATTTTAAAGTGGATTTCGTTATCAAGTCGACAACATGGAAATAGCTAAAATGGTGGATTTCATAAAGCCAGCATGAAGCCAGACAGATGGAGTCGTACTTTAAGTAGCGATTTTCAAGGCCTGTCTACACTGACAGACAAATCACGTGACTGTGGACCATCGTAAGAGCTGTTTGGACCAAGGTATCGAGGGGCGATCGAACGAAGAACAGGTAAATAAAAAATGGGTTGGGAAATTAACGTGAAAGCGTCGATAAACTATCAGTAAGCTGGCAGAAAATGAATCCCGATCATGACGACTACGGTGGGCATTGCTGTGAAGCGATTGGTTTCGTAAAAGACAATTAGAGAGCACATTGACTGTGAATCATCTCTCGTCCATTACTGGGTACTCACAACCTGACTTCAAAGGAGAAATTGAAGGTGAGAAGCGTCTCGTAAATGTCTGCTCGTAAAACAAACTAACTGCCCTGCAAAAGCTGGCGAAACATATCTAAGTGAAGACCACTCGTGGGGAACATACACTACGGTCATTGATTAGCAATCCGGCTATGAGCAAGGGCTTGAAATTTTCTAGAAAGGCGACCACATCTCTCTTGGTTATATCCTTTTTGCCTTTGTGGGTGTGTCTATACCTATATATTACAAGATACCTAAGAAAAGAAACTCAAACACAACCAATACGCTGCCGAAAACAATGTCTATCACTAATCATTCCAGTCGTCCTCTGTACGTCAAAGGAACTGAAGGAAATCTCGGTTAGAATGCAAAAAGGATCTTGATAGAAGACTTCTATAACAGGCGAATCAGGAAAACCGATTGGGTCTGATCTGATGCCTTTCCCGACGATGTACGCTTTCGTCGTAAAATTGTCCCGCCAACAACAGATGAAGTACTGGCGCAATTTCACCAGACACACAGCATCGATTTTCTCGTTCAAACTGCGGGTCGAGCATCAGAGGTGAGCTGGTAGGGGCCTTCTCCCATAGAACTAAAACTGTTGACCAGACGATTCACCTTCTGAGGTCTGCTTGCCTATGTCGGTTAATAAATTATGTATAGGGATGGCGGGGTAAACATATTTGTACCCTATGCGATATGTCGGTAATCAGTAGTTCGGTTCTACTTACGTATACATGTATACACTAGGCCCGATCACCTCAAACTAAGTGTTGCGAAACTTATGAGCTTTTCCCACCTTGTTCATCTCAGCCCGCTTGCCTTTCTTCCCACACTCCTAAGCTACCTTCCCTCACCTTTATTCTGACACTGACACGTCTTAACAATGGCATTCCAGTTTAAATTAAAAAGCCCTTGCCCAGAGGCAACACACAAGTGGGCCGATCGATTAGAGCCCGGGTCACATGCTATTAACGCCCGAGGAGCAGAAGTTGCCTACACACCCTGTCGTCTCCTATTTGCATTAACCGAACATAGCCGCAACAGCATAGACACGGATTCACATCGGGGTATTTTTTTTTCAATCCTAGGGACGTACGTGTACATCCTGTCAAAAGCCGCACTACCCGGAGCGTGCACTGAGGCAAGTCACGTGACTTGCACGATTCACAGACAAATTATGGCCACCGCAGATGGGCTGCTAGATGTCAGTTTGTTTTACTGGACAGGTACAGCGGCAATTGTTTCAGTAGAATAGCTCCAGTTCAAGGAAGTTTAGGTTCTCTCGAATAGAACTTCTTGGTTTAACTGCATTTCAACGTGGAATGAAGCGTCAAAGCTTTACCAATGATGATTTTTCGACAGACTGTGGCTAAGCTCTGTGGAAAATTGATTAGGTTTCCTCAAATCTTATGATTACTGAAGTTTAAGCATCTAAAATAGCTCTATCTCGACAAATATCTCCTGTATTGTGACTTTTACAAGGACTTGCCCAAAGGAGATCAAAGATACGACAGACAAGCAGAATTGTTCACAGTCTTCAGACAACGATTCTCGTGCAGAACATCGTATGTTGGGACTTGTCACACAGAATGAGTGCACAATCCGGTGTCTCTGGATAGCGAATATACCAGGTCCATCAAGACTGGTATGATTCGAACCATCCTCGATTGCAGAAGCCGTCGGAATACGGTTGCATCCCTTCACTCAAAAGAAAACTGTACGACCCATGAACCTGAACTGGTATGCGAGCGATTCCGTAACCTAGATTTATCTGACATTAGCTGAATACCCTCACAGTCTCAACGAGAACACCTTGAGATGAGCATTTTTTCAGGATCTTGTCCTCGACACTGATTAAATTCATTTGACTACGTGACCCGTAGATCTTTGTACGGCCTGCTCATTATTGCACCCGTGGATTCGTCCTATTTTACTCGCGATTGCTGTAGCCAACCGGGGCAACCACAGCCACTTTCGTTCCCGCCATGAATCCCATTTCCAGTCGCCCAATTAAACTGATCGTAGATCAAAATCAGGCACACACACTGACAAGAATCTACGGTTAGCTACATGTAGCACTCATCACATCGAAAGAAGAAGGCAGTTTTGATAAGCATAGCCGAGGCTGTCCACTGTTGGCGATTCTGTAGTGGTCGGCTTTGGGTTTGAAAATGAACCATCACATACTACTGGAGCCGAGAACGGCCAATATACTGATAATCACACGTTTAATCTAAGATGGCGTCTTTATTATCACCAATATATCCCTCCCCCTTAAAACATATCCAGATATCGTTGCATAACACGTGTTGTAGTCACTCGGAAACTCATTGCGCACTTGTGAGTCATGGCGGGAAATCAGAAACCTCTGTTGCTCAGCACACGAGTCAATCACAGACGGCAAACGGATACAATGAGATCGTGGTACTCCGACTAACGGTACCGGAATGCCGCAACCCTGCTGAGCGTGGACCTACAGCTCGCCGAGTCATGCGAACACGAATGACTCACTCAAGCAATGCACCAGACGAAGTCCTGTCGCCGATCGATATTCGAAACTATCACGTGAAAATGCAACGATGCGATGCGATGTTTGACTAGTACTGTTTTGTTAGATCACTGGGCCTAGAAGGCGAAAAGAAACCTTACCTCAGAATCGACTGCCTGATCCACAGAGACACACAAGACAGTTGTGTGGGGCTGCTAGCTTCGTTCGTTTGCAACTGCTGTCAAACTTGAATACAATAGGTCGAATTAGGGTGTATTGTTCGTAAAACGACAACGAGGGTTACTGGTGATG